CTCAATATGGATATTCATTGTTTTTATTGGTGTGATTCAACAATAACTTCATCGTGGATAAATTCAGAACCAAATTCTTTAAATATATTTGTAGCTCACCGAGTAACAGAGATTCAAAAATATACTAAATGTTGTCAATGGAAACATGTTAAAAGCGATGAAAATCCTGCTGATATCATTTCACGAGGAACAAGTCCTCTATTTTTATCAAAATCTGAGATGTGGTGGAAGGGTCCTCCATGGCTTTCTTTAAAGACTTCCGAATGGCCATCAGGATCATTTCAAAGGTTGAAAGATATTCCAGAAAAAAAAACGATTATCGTTACTTTGAGTTCCCAAGTACTAGATCAAAGCATATTTACACTTTTTTCAAGTTTAACTAAGCTATTTAGAGTAACTGCATATTGTTTGAGGTTTATTCAAAATTTGAAAAATAAAGAAAAGGACTACTCATCTCTGAAGATTTCTGAAATTGAAAATGCTACAAGGGCTCTTTTGAAAATAGTACAAGGGGAATTTCATCAAGAAATTGATTTTTAAAAAAACGGGAATCAGATTCCTCATCAGAGCAAATTATTATGTCTTAATCCATTCGTGGATAATCACGGAATACTCAGAGTAGGGGGAAGATTGATAAAATCTAATCTTAACATGTACCATAAACATCCAATAGTTCTACCGAGTAATCACTTGTTCACAAAATTGGTTATAGAATATGAACATATCAGACATTTACATGCTGGAAATCAGACAACTTTAGTGGCTGTTAGACAAAGGTATTGGCCGTTAAACGGTCGTAATACGATTCGGAAAATTTTACGCAAATGTATAATTTGTTTCAAGGCACGACCATTAAGTAGTCAAAATTTGATGGGTGATCTTCCAGAAAATAGGGTCAAGCCTTCGAGGCCGTTTCTTATAGTCGGAACGGATTATACTGGGCCATTTTTGCTAAAAGATAGAAAAACCAGAAATCGTAAACTGATAAAATGTTATGTGTGTATTTTTATTTGTTTTGCTACAAAAGCTGTTCATATTGAATTAGTTACAGAGTATATACTACGGCTGCATTTTTAAACGCTCTCAAAAGATTTGTTTCCAGACGTGGTATATGTAGGAAAATATTCAGTGACAATGGTATCAATTATATAGGTGCAGCAAACGAGTTGAAAGGCATTTTTAAAAATCTTGAAAATGATATTTCCTTCAAGAATTATTTATTTAACAATTCAATCGAGTGGAAATTCATTCCTCCTCGGGCACCAAATTTTGGTGGAATATGGGAGGCAGCAATAAAATCTGCCAAATTTCATATGAAAAGAATATTATCTAGAGTACCTCTAACTTATGAAGAATTGTATACTGTACTGACTCAGGTGGAGGCAATGCTCAATTCGAGACCATTGGCACCGCTTACTAGTGATCCGAATGATTTAGCTGCTCTGTGTCCGAGCCATTTCTTGATTGGGGAAATGTTGACTTCTGTTCCACAAGAGGATGTATGCATTATACCAGAAAATCGACTTGATCACTATCAGAAGCTTCAACAGCTTACCCAGCACTTCTGGAAACGTTGGTCGTCAGAATACCTCTGCCATCTGCAGCAGAGAACAAAGTGGAGACGTTTATCTGAGCAGGTGCAGACTGGTCAGTTAGTTTTGATAAAGGAAGACTTCGTGCAGCCATTGTTATGGAAATTGGCGCGCATTATTGAAATTCATCCCGGCATGGACGATGTTGTTCGGGTTGTGACACTGAAGACACAAGAGGGTACCTTGAAACGTCCAGTCAACAAGATATGTGTATTGCCCTTAGAAGAATGTACCACATAATTCATTGCCTGTTATATTTGTAATGTAATTATTTATTTAGTATTTTGAAAGTTATAATCTTTCAAAGGGGCGGCATGTTTGGTACTTTGTACATCACCCTTTATGTTATATCTAGGTCAAGTAGTTAAGACACCATGTATGTCCAGTACTTTACCTGTATGATCCTGTATAATGGTAGTTGCTAGTGGTATTACCCTATATAGGATAGGATTTCATTTGTTGTTATCATGACGACGTGTTGTTGAAACATAAGATTGAATCAATAAAGTTGGGAGAGAAATTGCAATCGGTGGCAATTTCCCTTTTATTCTTCATATCATATCAGTTTTTATTCAACGATCGAAATACAGTCCACACTCATCATCAAGAGTATCGAACAGATATCGAATGTCTCGAAGTGTATTGTCTGAATATGATTTCCTGAATAATGTAGAATATACCTATAGTATATAATCCTATTATTATATTCTTGTTGAAAGGTGTGAGTTTTTCTAGATAACATAGTGGTCCAATTGTACATACGAATGAAATCGAATTTTGAAATTGAGATGTTCGATGAGCAAACTACTGACTCTCTAACTAGTGCCCATAATATGTTGTCATATTTCAATAGGGATTATGGAATCAATGTGAGAATAAGGCTTTCTCCCAGATTCAACTCTGCAGTCGAATTATGTTGTCCATTTCAGATCAATTTCTCCTCCTGAATGAGGAAACAATTTTCAGCAACAGTTCTGAAAAAGAAGAAATCCTTGTCTTGGGAAATGAAATTTCTTCAGAATCTCTCTCACACTCAAGACTGGTTCCGACCTAAGTGGAGGGACCAAACCAATATTTTCTGAAGGAATAACGTCATAGTGGAAATATTTGTATTCATTTCAATAATTTTGAAATGAATATCACTTGAGAATTCAAAACAAAATCCGAGATCCGTGTTGCTCACCTGTTAAATTGGTTAGAACTGACCGTTTTTGAAAAAGAGTTAAGGCGGGTTTAGCAAATTCATAATGCATAGTGGATAAATGATACATAGTGCACAACAGGAAGGAGTGTTTATATAAGGTATAATTTTTATGCTAACAAGTGACAGGAGTGACAGATTTGGCAAAAGTTGTTAACCTCGCTTTGTGTTGTTTGCGTGCGTGTTTTTAATTTTTTGGATCTTTTTCAATTATCAATATACCTACCAAGGGAGACGAAGATGAATTTTATTGCAAATTTTAAGTGATAAAAGTTGGAAATCTCTTACTCTCACTCCAACATTTGACAAGTGACAAGTTGACAATTTTGACAGTGTCTCAAGGTTTGAAATTATGCATTACACACTGAGAGTAATTCATTATGCATTATGAGCTGTCTTAACACGCCTTCAAATTTACGAATCAGCCGCATATTAGACGTTTATGTTGATGATGCTTTCCCAAGTTCAAAATATTGTCACGAATAGGGTTGTTATTCTCCCAAATTTCATTTAAATTCATAAAGGGTTTGAAGTAATTGAACGGCCACGTCTTTGTTTATTAATTCCAAAATTTTCGAATCGTGAACTTTTTTTTCATAGTAGTTGAACATAAACGGATGCGTGACATTGACTTCAACGAACCTGGACTGTCGACCTGATTTCCTTTTACTGTCACGTTTCCGAAAATATAGACAACTATTTAAAAGACGGAAGGAAGCGGGTTCGACAGTTCCACTACCAGTTCGGCTGCGAGTTGGACTGCCAGTTCGACTGACAGTTCGAGTTCTAGTCTTGTTAGTTTGAGTACGAGAGTACGAGTCAGGGAAGTTTGAGTTCTATCAATTGTAAGTTTGAAAAGTTGCCACTGTGCCCGAACCTTCTGAGTTCGGACAGAACACAAGATGCCCTTCCCCAGGCTCCCAGAAATACCAGTTAATTTGTACATACAGGGTAAGTTAAGTTTTCAATAATTGTCAATCATAAATCAAAGAATAACTGCGTGTACTATATGTTTTGTTCGAAAACCTTTTTGGGTATCATTTATTATTATCATTCCAAAGTTTGAAAAGGAATATTCTCAGATAAATTATGAACATACAAAAATGGATATATTTATATAAAGCAATACATTGAGAATTCGCATTCTCCATGTGATGAGAATATTTACTCTTTTTCAGTTCATTCAATAGAAAACAACTACTTTCCTGACTATACGCCACGACGAACATTGAATTATATCTATTGAAAACAGACGATTAAGAGTTTGAAAATACAATATAAAAACTTCTGAAATTGAGAATTTGCATTCTCCTTCAGACAAAAATATGTATATGCACACATCATTCTGAATATTCAACAGAAAACAACTTCTTTTCTGGCTATTTGCCACGTCGAACATTGAATTATATCTGATGAACATTCAAAGGGAGAACATGAAAAATAAAGAATAAAATCCTCCGAAATTGAGAATTGACATTCTGCTTCAAATCGGATGGATGAATAAAATGATGAATAATGATATAGAAATATAACTTACCAATATATTCAGCATTGAAATGAAAATTGGAATGTATGGGAGAAGTCTACTAGCATAAACTCTGATCTTGATGTAATTCAATTTTCGTCGTGGCATATAGCCAGGAAAGTAGTTGTTTTCTATTGAATGAACTGAAAAAGGGTGAATATTCTCATCACATAGAGAATGCGAATTCACAATGTATTGCTTTATATAAATATATATCCATTTTTGTATGTTCATAATTTATCTGAGAATATTCCTTTTCAACATTTTCATAGCCAATCAGGGGGTTCAAACTTGAACGATGGAAACTTGTGATTTTTATAGACCTCTAATCGCAGATTCGTGATAGAGTCTCAATTCAGAATTTCTTTCCACGCCCTGTATGATGAATGTCAATTTATCATACACCCAAAAGCAACTTCCAAAGTTCATTCTCAAATGGATCAAGAATACTACTCAGGCAACCCCCGCCTATAGTTTGTGACAATATCATGACGTACAGCAGACAATATTATTGTTCTCTACAGCTGAACATCCTGTATTCTTCTCATTATCTGTAACTTCAGTGATATGGCCCATTCAACATATTTTGTAATTGATGAAAAACCAGTCAAGTCATTCTTATTGATGTATTTTTAACTATGTATCCTTATCAGTATGATTTTTACTGAAACAAACAACAGATACGAGTTCAAAACTAACTTGGCCTTGTTTTATCTTATCGAACGAACGACTGATAATTCTGCTGGGAATAATTGAACAGCCTCAAAATTAGTTTGACTTCAGGTCGAAGCTATCCTCCAGTCTCATTAACGATGTCGAGTTCCATTAGAACCCTGATTCGTACACCCAATGCCCCCCAATTCCCTTCGGTCCCCATCAAGTAAGTAGAGCTTTAAATTAAATTGCACGGTGTTGTGAACCACGGGAAAGGTTACTATATAGCCTTCTGCTATCTTCCGGTGGTGCAAAGTGATTTGAAAGTGTGAAGGTCAGTGAAGGGTTGCAGAGGTTTCATTTCTGAAAGATGTTTATTGTGGAAGTTCTTTCATCGATTCATCAATATTTTTTCTATGTACAGGGTGATTCACCATAAATGTCCCTCCCCTCTAGCTCAGTTATTTTTGAACCAATTGCAAAATTTTTAATATAACCTAAAATGATTTTCGATAGAGTTTTTTTCCGCTACATCAAAAAAAACAAGGTGCTCGGAACAAACAGGGTACTATTTGATTCTTTCAAATTGAATACCCTATTTTTCATTGTGTTCTTAGATTCTCCCTGAAGAGCTGATTTCATCAATGCATCACACTTGGGGTCTAGCGAGAATGATTACAGAGATATAGGGTGTTCAAAATCGAGATTTTTCAACTCTAGGTTTTTTTTTGTGATTCATTATCGGTCAAAACGGCTTTCATGTCCGTATCTCAACTTTTGATCTACTATCTACTGACATTTGATAATTGGAACAGATACTGGGTGATCAGAATTCTGAATCTTGGACTGTATATGTTCCAATTAAATGTCAGGAGATGGTGAATCAAAAGTTGAGATAGGAACATTATAGTCGTTTTGACCGATAATGAATAGTTTCGACACAAAAAAAATCCTAAAGTTGAAAAATCTCGATTTTGAACACCCTATATCTCTGTAATCATTTCCGTTAGACCCCAAGTGTCATGCATTGATGACATCAGCTCTTCAGGGAGAATATGAGAATTCAATGAACTACAGGGTGTTCCATTCGAACAAATCAAGTAGTACTCTGCAGATCGTTTGTTCCGAGCACCCTGTATTTTCTGATGCAACGGGGAAAAAATTTCTGTAAAAGCACTGATTTCTCAAACTTTTAATTCGGTTCAAAATAAGTGAGCTAGAGGGGGGGACATTTATGGTGAATCACCCTGTACCAGGTGATACTGACTCATGTTATTTCCCTTCTTTTCTGCATTGTTTTTCTATATATACATCTGGAATTTGGAACATCGAATATGCTCACTAGAATACACTTTTTCACATTTTATGAATTTTTTGTCATCTTCCGGTTTTTCTGGAAATGACTCCTACTTTCGATTTTTAAATGAAGCACCCTGTATTTTATCACATAATCGGTAATGATAAGAGATTGATATATCAATTTCAACAATACCAGGTTTAATTGGGTTATACAAACGATTACGAAGATATTCTTGTTCGAAGTTTCCATAAGCTCAATGAGTGTGACAGAGAGTTTCGATATCGTGCCGTCACACCCATTGTGCTTATGGAAACTTCGAACGTGAATATCTTCGTAATCGTTTGAAAAAACCCAGTCAAACCCGGTATTGCTGAATTCGTTTAAATAATCTCTAACCGATTATGTAATGGAATACAGGGTGTTCCATTTGAGATTGATGTCATTTCCAGTAAAACCAGATGATGGAAAAAATCTCAGAATGTGAGGAAGGGTCCTCTAGTGAGCATATTCTATGTGACAAATTCCAGAAATATGGCTAAAATACAGAGAAGGAAAGGGGTGTATACCATGAATCTGTGTCACTCGGTATGTAATATTGGGTTAGTGAAATTTGAGTAGATCTCGGAAACGGAAGAGCATCAGAGAGGCAAAGATGCGCAATTTAGTGCCAGACAAAATTCCGTTTTGAAATTTGAAAAATACTCCGAAGATTTTTGAAAAAAAAAACGAATATTGGCGATTTTATTTTTATTTTTTCTGACTCTATTCGAATAAATGTAACAAAACAAATAACAGATCGTCATTGCTACTTTCTCTGCTCTACAAGATGGTGTTATCAGATTTTTGAACTGACGTTTCGTCTTCGATCTGCCACTATCGACTTTTTTTTCAAATACGGACCTGTGGTATTCACTTATTGTTATAGTCATTCTCATTAGACCAGTACAATCATTGTTCCTTGGAGATCTGGTTGTCTATTTATCCTTTTCATATTGTTTACATTCATTAATTGTTTTCTAACATCAATACACGTTTTTAACAATTTCGCTGACATACTTCATGTCTTGTATGCCATGTCAATTGTCAACTTCAAATTTGCTTTCATTATTTCAGTACTTTCTTATCAAGTTCACTTCAACAAGACAGTATGCCGTAGCCATAATGGCTGTTTAAGAGGATATAATCTGCATATTATCCCAACTTGGGAAACAAATCTTAATCTGTTTGTACCGTAATCAACAATAATGTTAATATAACTCAACTGGACCAAATATGTGAAAACTTCCCTAACGAAAAGATTCCCACAAAATTCTCGAACACACGACATGTTTCGCTAACACAGTAGCTTCGTCAGGTGATAAACTGGTACGATGAACTAAACTAACCTTGGCTTGCTTAACTTTTATATATCCTACTTTCCCAACCTGAGGGATTAGTTACCTGTGGACAGTTTCGATAAACTTTAATTTCTGGAAATCAGGTACAATATCTATTTTTAAATACGGTGGTACCAGACATTGTCATATCAACTGAGGTCCACCCTTCCGAAGAGAATACAGGATTGAGTTTTGGTGACGTTTAATTGAACTTGGTTTCCCCAAGCTGTAATTTCCGCTAGATCTTTTTCTCTCGTGAGTTTTTAGTTTCCTGAAAAGAAATGGGAATTCTAGAAGAGAACGCAGTATGGAGAGTAATATCGTCTGTAAAGCTGTGGATAGGGCAGATCGTTGACATGAGGTAGGAACAATGTTAGTGCCAAGAGAGATCCTTGTGGAACGCCGGAATTGATTGATAATATACGAGACTCCGTGAACCACCACATGAAGCGATCTGCCTGAAAGAAAGAAGAAAATAAGATGAAAGATGGCATAGCTGAGGTGGTAAGCCGTACGATGGTAGTTTGTGGAGCAGTCCTTGTTGCCCAACACGGTCGAATGCCTTCAATATATATAGCGGTACAGGTAGGGATTCCCCATGTCTTTCTAATGAGGCTTGCTATATATGGTTGACGTAGGCAAGTGAATCTCCAGTTGATCTTCGCTGGCGAAAGCCATATTGTTTTTTATTCATGATTCCTGAGCTCTCCTGATATTTGATGAACCCACTGTTGATGGCTTTCTATATCACTTTGGAGATGACCGACAACAGGGCAAATGGTTCATAGTTGTTGGACAGGGTCTTGTCGAGTTTTTCGGGGATTGGTTGGACTCTACCTTTTTTTCCAGTGATATGAAAAAATACCCGACTTGTAGGAGATGGTAAATAGCTTGCGGAGATTCGGTGTCAATTTTGGTGCACCCTTTTTGAGCATAATGGGTGGAATTCCATCAGGATCATTAGACTCATTCGTTTTGAGACCGATCAGTATTCGTCTGATAGTGCGTTGACGAAAGACAAAGGGTGGAATGTCTGGTGGCAATTTTTCTTGGGAATCCCAGGTGGACTTAGAGGCGAACATCTCTGCAAAAATGTTCTTTCTCTTTCGATGTGGCTGCTGATGTGCCGACGGCTCTGTAGAGTGGTGGAAATGAACTATTGGTGAAATTCTTTATGACTTCATTAGCAATGAACGGAAGGAATTGGAACAATCTATGAGTTCTGATCTCATTATGACCTTGTATGATTGTTTTGATGCATCTATTGTTTGGCTGCAGTTAATTCTTGCTTCAACATTTTTTGCTCTAGTCACGAGGTTTGGGTCCTTGCACCGGCGATGGTAGGCTGTTTTGTATCAAGACAACAACTCTAGAACAGTTCTTGTTGAATCAGGGTCTCGAAGCTGATGGTCTCTTCGAAGAATGAAGTATGTATGTGTCCATTCCCAGCGTGATGATCTCGGCAATTTTCGTAGCACACTGTGAAGGATTCTCAGAATCAAAACATATTCTATGCAAATGAAACTCGGAGAAAACCATGCTTACTCCCCTGAGTTATAATGTGATACAAGAGTTCCATCCGTGAATAAATTCAGTAGTAGAGTTTATTTGATTAATCACAATCGAAACCTCAGTTTCTCATCAAATTAACGCTTCTTCTCACTGCACTGGAAAAAACGCCTGCATAACAAGATTTATCGCAAATAAAAACAAATTAGTTTCGGAAAGGGGTTCTTTTCCTTGGACAGAATATGTTAAATTCGATACTCCTCGTAGAGATACTTGATTCTTACGGCTACATAATTGACCACAAGATTATACTGTAATCGCAATAATCATCTCAACCCCAATACTCCTGAACCATCGGAATTCATGAATACAACAATGGTTCCATACAATATGTTCTTACAAAATACCTATAAATCATTATTTTTTCTGTCAATATCAACGTCACTTGCAATATGACATTAACGAAAAAAATCATCTCTACAAAAAATGCCCCACAATACAATTCTCCTTATAAGTACGTGACCCCATATTAATATAGTTAGTTTATTCGGACCGCACTCATACATTTTACTTTCAGTCAAGCAATAGTTTTTGATAACACCATCTACTGTTCTGGAGTTATTGGAGTCGACAAAGATACGATGAAAATGGTGGACAGCAGCTTTGCAGCGGAGGTGAGGCAGGTCATGAGGAATCTGAGCGCCATATTGCAAGCAGGAAATTCTTCTCTGGAAAACCTGCTCAAAGTCACTGTATACTTGAACGACATCAACGATTTTGCCACAATGAATGAAGTTTATAGAGAATGTGAGTAGATTCATTCGATATTCGAAGTAACGAAATTCTGTATCTTGTAGTGTTTCTTCGACATCAAATGGTTTCTCTTTTATATGAGTAACATTTCTGTGGAATGTGATGAATGTTTAAACTAGACCTCTTCCACCGTCAACTGATTCCCAGAATGGCTACTTGTATTTCAGAATATAGTCATTTCAATTTCAGAAATCGTCAGTTGAATTTCAGAAGTATCAAGATTCATTAGATAGTATAAGTGCATTCCATGTAAGAATGTAGGTATAGGGTGTTTAAAGCTCCCAAGAGCTTCGTGAAGTGATAAATTCGAATTATTCACTCCATATTCCTTTTTCAGTTTGAGGATTTGAGGATCATCAGAGTGAAAAGATGAACTTAGTTTTATTGCCTTCCATCATTTTTATTTCTTGGAGCACACAAGAGCAAATTCCTATTATGTTTTCGAGGAGAATCTGAGAATCAAACGAACTTGATCAGTTGTGATTTCTCCAAATCGCAAAAAACCTTAACAAACACCCAGCGTTCTGAATATTGGATCTTGAAGCTTATATTTTATATTTATATTTTTTAAGAGCCATACAGTGCGTCTGGAAAGTTATAACCCCTTTCATGTCCGCAATAATTTTCACCTAGAGAACGATATTATCTGAAATCCAATTGACTATTCTGAAATTCAATAAATGCTTTCTGAAATTCAAATAATATTTTCTGGAATTCAAATGACCCTTTCTGAAATTCAATTGACTATTCTGAGATACAATTAATACTTTCTGGAATACAAGTGACTATTCTGAAATACAATTGATTTATATTGGAATTTGACATGTTCATGTTATTTCCAATAAGTTTCCATAATTAGCACCAAGAGAACACAAAAGAATCATTTCAAAATGGCTGGCTTACATTTGGTGGCCGTATATATTCCTGAGGACATTATCTCACCTGTTGAATTTTCAGTTTTCACAAAAGATTTGCCAGCTCGAACAATGATAGTTGCGTCAAAGCTTCCCATGAATGCAAGAGTCGAAATCGATGCTATTGGAGCTACAGGAACTGTGAAAACGATTTGTTGTCATTAACCTGTTTATATTTCATACACTCAATCCATTCTACAATATTATATGAATAAAGACTGAATCATTTTTGGAAACGATATTGTTCTATGTAGGATTAATGTCTCTTATACAGGGTCTCGCCGATTTAATATACAGGGTGATTGATTAAGATTGGGAAATCTCTGAACTATAACGGATAGTAAACACCAAAATGAGGAGATTGAACCCAAAACGGAATTTTTTCTTAACTTTGGTCGAGAGTTTACTTTGAAATTATTTTTGTTGTAGGCGCTGTTAGTGATTGTCATGCATCATTGATTACTAATTTTTTTTTACTATCGCTTTGCTAAATTCATAATTTAAAATCATCGAAATGTTATGAGTGGAACATAAATCTTTTAGAAAACCGTTAGAGCTAGTCAATTTGAAAGAGAGTACATTTTTTATATCGAATTGAAAAGGCTTTCAGGTTGTCCACTCATTTCCATCATCATTCAATAGACAAAGCAGATATGATGTAATTTACCGAAGTAACAGTGTCACTAGCGTCATCTATGAGAAATAACAAAATGAGTTGCCAATTCATATTCCACATGACAGAAAACCTGGCACTAGTGAATTTTATGATCATACTGTTAAAACTCAGAAAGTTATTGAGAAATGTTAAAATAAGATATTTCCAAGAATACCCTATATCTCCTGAAGCAATATCATTATTATCAGGCATGTTGATCTCAATCTCAATATTTCAGTGTTAACTATCTGTAGTTCAGAGATTTCACATTCTTAATGATTCACCATGAATTTCCGACAGTATTGATTTACTGGAGTAAGAGATAAAAATTTAGTTAAATCAAACGAAAGTTGCGTAATTTGTGATTAATATCGGAGGATGAAATTTGAAATATTGAGTAAGCAGGTGATTTATCATGACAAAGAAGTTGAGATTGTCAGAAATATTCTATCATTATTGTCAGAGATTCACCATGCAACTTCTGTTTCTCTTATGGGTGCCATATTTATCGAATGGAGTACCATTCACAGCCATGTACAGGGTCTCTATAAATTATCGTTGCATCGTAGTGACCGTTGAAATATTTTATTGATTGTTATGTCATGTTGTGTATACGCAACATTTGCTGGAACTAGTAGTTGAATTTTTGAATCAAATTATTTTATTCATATAGATTCCGAAACAATCTTTGTGTAGGAATATTTAAATTCATCACATAGATAGGTATACAGGGTGAGTCATTAGTGTGGCAAAGTGAGATAACGGCTTTACTGTTCGAGATAGATGAACAAAAATTCCAGAGATGATCTAGGATCATGAGCAGCACATTTCCAAATTATTTCGCTTCATACATAAATGCGTGCGGCATATCAAAGTTATACTTTTTCTTATGATACACCCTGTATTTAATTGCATTTTCGCATTCTCCTTTGTGAGCTGATTTCATCAATGCATCACACTTGGGGTCTAGCGGGAATGATTACAGAGATATAGGGTGTTCAAAATCGAGATTTTTCATCTTTAGGATCTGTTTGTGTGGAAACTATTCATTATCGGCCTAAACGCCTTTCATGTCCCTATTCCAACGTTTGATCTACTATCTACTGACATTTAATTGGAACAGATACAAGGGTGATCAGAATGCTGAATGTTGAACTTTTTTCGGGGCTAAGTCGCATGTGCGGGTCATACGTAAATCCTACGGCCAATGATGCGTATTGACAACATAGGTAATAATTTTTTTACGATTTCCTTGCTTTTGGAAAATACCTGAGATATTTTAATCATCCCACATTTTTCCGAGGTATTCTGATGGAATCATTGTGGATAAAGAAACGCGATACCTGAGGAATGGATATTCTTTATTAAGTCTGAGCGGTTGATAAGAAATACCGTATTTTTCGATAATTAATTCGAAGTTGTTCCAGATGAGGAAAACAAAAATAAATGTGGAGGAGAAGAATAATTATTATTTCTTTCCAGATGGAAGATCTAGAATTCAACAAAAATTCGAGAATGTAACATCGAAAATTTTTTTTGTAAGGTAAAGCATATGCGCAACATTGGCCATAAATGGGTTCAAAATTTATTCAGTCTATCATAGAGTGTCATCGCATTGGAAACATAATAAGTATCTGTTTCCATCAGGTGAAAATGATAATAAAAAAATACAAATCGATAGATTGATTGATTAGATTTTCCAATTCCACAGTCATCACCAGCAACTTTCCTGCGAGAACTGGCTTTCAAGTTGGGAAACTTCCAATGAACGCCAGAGTAGAGATCGACGCAATTGCAGCTACTGGAAACGTCAGAACTGTCATTCGCGAATGAAAATGAATACCTGAGAAGAAGCCTTATTCCTGGATGAAAGGCGTCTGTACTGAAATAAGTAAGCATAAAGTGACAACGAATAAGTTTTCCAGTTTTGGCAGAAAATATTTTTTAAACTGTGGACTGTTGAATGAATAACACTTTCTCAAAAAATAAAAATATTTGTTCACCTTCATTGTTTCGTGTTTTATGTATTATTATTATCATATATGTATAATGGTTGGACGAGATAATTTCAGGTCATTCAGTATCATGTATGTGACTATTCAGATTTACTTAAATAATAGACTGACAAAATTATGCTTCATAGTGATATTTTGACTGAATTAATTGATACTCGCGGTGCTTCTGACCTCGCTGAGAGTAAATACTCCAAATTAGCCATTCACCTGTGATCAATGATGTAGAAGAATATCACGCAAACCTCAAAATTCAATAAAAGTTCAAGATTATGTTTTATTGAAAAAATGAATTATTTCGTTGTGGTTTTTGTATCCCATGACCCACTTCATTTTCGCTTCAATTACGGAAACATCAACATTTGCAATTATTGTGAATTAGGGTACACACTGAGAAAAGTACCAGGAGAAAGTTCATGGCTGAAAAATTCACTTTACTGAAACCATTTCACTGGTACTCCATATAAACAAACTACCCTGAAAATGTTCTCTAGGATGGTAAGATATCTTATAATATTGTAGGAAAGAAGTTTTCATCAATATTTTTTTACAGTAACTCACTGTTAGCTTAGGTTAGGTATATATGAAATTAAGCATCATATATATTTCTTCCTATTATCAGTGATGTTCTTCGCAATCCCAGTAAATAAATTCAGCTGGAAGCGTTTCGGACACCTGCGAAGACAAGTTTTGCGAAAATATGTCAAGGACAATGCGCTAAATGGGATAATTGTGGCCTAATGAGGAATTTCGGAGAGACCAAAGAATCAGTTGTGCCGTCTGAAGTGAGTGATATCGTTCCCGTCATATTTCTCAATTCGATAATTTCACAGTTAGAAAGTGGATGGTTGATCACGTTTTGGCCAGAGAAAGGGTTAACATTCATATTCAGATGTTCTGTCCAGTACAGTGTCTAGTGTAATAAAACTGAAGGTCTGAAGCAGCCATTATAGTTTATTGGCAGCTGTTGCCCTTAGTGAAGACCGACATTGTCGTAAATGAGATGCCGTGAATGTATCGTGCATGTATATACAGTCGTCTTCAGAGATCATGTTGCACATGGACGGTGTCAGCTCTATTGATCAGTGCTGCAATAAGAGCGCTCATACCGTCCAACCACGACATTTTCGTTGAAGGCGACTGTACCTACTTATCTACTACGTCCTGCTCCAGCCAATCAAGAAGTTACAAGGTATTTTGTGTCATTGACAATTTTTCGATGGTTCGCGATTTGAACTTGATTCATTTGGTGACCTATTTGTGATCAACGGCCATATAAACTTACTAGTATTTAAGGAAGAGGGCATTCATGTTGTTGATCTATCTGTATTTGTTCTTTGCCTAGATGGATGTTCGTGAATTGAATTAGGAAATTAGGTTTACTAAATGAAGCCAAGCCAGTCACAACTCCTAAGATTAATGATATTACACTGGTGAACGAAAGTAAAATGGTTGTAGTGGTGATAAAAGGATTCATAAGTATTTTCATGGGCTCAAATTGAGATACAGGGTGGACGATTACGACCTTCTAGATTTAGGTTTGTTTTGTTTTTGTCATGAGTACGTTATTACGTTACGATAGTTATTTGAACTTGGTTCTGGAGTGTTCCTGATTGCTGAGAATTATTTTTGTTGCTCATTCTGAATTTCGTTTTGTTGAGTTTTCATAAATTTCTTAGCTGCATAATATGTTCGTTTATTCACATAAAAATGTGTATTATTTGACTATAAGCCCGTCTGGTACATTTAAATAATCCGCTACGGCGCGATTTCCCCTGAAGAAAAGCCTAGATCCCCCACTGGCGAGAAGAATAAAATACGTGATGAATAGTAAATAAAATGAAGCCTCATCAGCGAGAACCAACATAGACAATAATCAGAATGTAAATTCCAAAATATGCACTTTTAAAGTAAATATAATTAAAACTCTGAGCCACCGTACACAAAAAATAGTTCATAAGAAACTTAATTGGGATAATAAACAGAGTTTGAATTTTGGAGTAGGACAAAGGCCATAAAGGGAGGGGGAAAACGTGCAGCGGAATTTTACGGAAGTTTCATTTGTCTGTATTTATCTTTGGAGTTTGTTGTTGGTTCAGCAGGTGTAACTTGGATGTTTAGAGTGTGGAATATCTCTAATCTGAAATTACCAACCGAAAGGGTTGGTCGCTAACATTGGCGGCAGGATATATACTGGGTGGTATTATGAAGGTCGTTCCTAACAACATTCAACGTCAGAGTAATCGATTCACTCAAAATATCGATAGACTTTGCTCATCAATGAATTCATTAATTCAAGTCCGATCTGATCTGTTTTTTCATCATCGCACAGGTTAATTCATGTGGTATGTGACACTTATTTGGTCCTATTATACAAGTGACACTAATACTGTATTTCATTATTAATTTGAGAAAATCCATGTAATGCCCCATCGGGTGAACCCTGTGATTTCTCATCTTGTCTTCAAATTGACGAGGAATTTTATAAAAAAAAGTTGAACCAAACAATGAAAAAGGATTCTAGTATGCCACAATTCGATGACAATGATATCAGAATTGATGCAGCATTGCCAGATTCCTCATGAGCGATTACCAATTCGTGAGAATCTGAAATAACCAATTGGATATTCATAATGCCCAACGAATCAAAAAAATTCATTTACGACGAAAAACATTATTTTTACCCATATATTCTCCCCATTTTATATGATCATCTTATATTGAATGATTTACAGATATTTTGTTCGTGACTGCTCTGAAAGATATTGTTATATTGTGGAAAGTATCAATTCTCTTCAAACCAGATTGGCGGTGACCACCACCAACCACTAGTAGTTGTTAACTTCAGTAGGTATTCTACTCCATTTCACTCTCCATGCTTATCGATGATAATTTGTTCCATTCTCATGATATTTTCTTGATCATGTCGTCGCAGATTCTGGAGTCTACTCCCTACCCAACCAACATTTTAAGAAAATTATACCAAGCAGAGAGGAGAAATTACTCGAAGAAGTCGAAATTTACTAATTTCCGACAAAAAATTTTACCTTTATGCCCTGAGTAACTTGAAAGTTATGGATTAGGTTGTAAAATACCTGGTTAGGACCTCAACATTTCCTATGAAATCCATCAACTTTATAGACAAATTGCATAGTTGGAAACTACTCATTACAGACTTCAAACATAACTTCATGGTCCTAGTGAGCATTTAGTTATCAATTAGGTAATATTTAACATCAAAATCACCAGTAAAATGTCTTCCAGGCCCTTGAACTATCAGGATATTTATTGGAGTTAAAATTTACCAAATTCTAACTTGATAAACGATCATAAAGTCAGGGAATAATCAGATGGAGAAAATAAGTCGGATTTATACTCTGTTTTGCCTATTTTCGACCAATTGAGTCGAAGGAGTTTCTTAGACTTTTTTTAACCTAATCAGTACCAACTTCATATCCGATGAAGGCAAGATTACCACTATGAAATCCTTATAGAACGAAGTGTCCTTGAGAGAGCCAAGAATACCAAAATTAGTCCTAAAATCATGTTCTCAAAGTTGATGACTATTATTGATCCTGGTGCTTTGAGGTCGGCAAATGTTTTGGAATGATCATTAATTTCTGAAAATATTAAAAACTGGAGACAAGCGCAATGTATGAGTTTTGAATGTTTTATTCTTTATCACCAGTGAGTGGTTCAGGTAGCTTACCGCTTGAACGCTTCTAAAGCAAATCATGATATCTTTCTATACATTACGATGATGTTTGATCATCTAAACCATCGATTTGTTTTGACATTCGAAGTTTTACTTCCACTTATTCCATTGGTCAGATCTGAATGCATATTTCAAATAACTTTTATAAAAAAAAACAGGTATCAATAATTATTACACTTCGGTTGAGAACGTAAAAAAATGTACTAAAAGTATACTAGAACGGCAACACTGTTCGAGAGATGACAACACGGCGATGGACTTTTCTGATTCGCTGAAAAATGAAGCCTGTCATCCAGCGACCAATTAGAAAACATACCGTGGTGCAGAATAAGAAATTGAAAGCGAACAACGAACATTTGACAAATTATATGATTATAGGCAACATCTGATAATATAAATCCATCAGGTTGACTGCTACTCAAATAATATTCTCGTTGATATAGTCTAAAATCCCAATATGGGGAAATTGGGCTCCATAGTCAGAATATACAGAATTTTCGACTATGAACGAAGCCTATTCGCCCTGAAAGTTGAAGATTCTGGAAAATTCGACTTTCAAGTCCAATATGAAACCGACGCCATATTTGTTGGCTCGAACCTTTTTCGCCATTGACGGAAAAAGAAGAAATCTCTACATAGCGACCACATCCTAATGAATAGTAATACAGAAAAGGTTAAATTTCGCATATATGATCATATTCTACCAGTTGAATAATTTTTAGATGGAATTGTTGAAAAATAATTCGAAAATACAAAGAATATCATCCAGTATTTTTCTACAAATCCAATAATTTCGTGGGCCCACTAATTTTACATGTGTAAAATCAACATTATCACAATAAATTTTGCATCGCAGGTTGAATAACGATTCACAACAACCTCAAATAAGCTAAACAACATGCATATTATCTACACCTTCCACTACTATCGAGTTTTCTTTTGAACGCCATGTTCATAAACTACTAAGTCTCCATACGTAAATGAGTAGGTATAGTCGATCGTGAAACACGGTACATATTTGTTTTCCGAACCCAACCAAATGACAGTAAACCAGGTAGAAATCTTAGTAAACCCACCCATAAGTAGGTAATGAATAACGTCAGAATAACTAAAATCAGACCACTATCGGACTAGAATTAGGGCAATTTCACCTATTTGTTTCCTCGACCTATTGGTCAGGATACCCTAATATCCCTATTCTCGTCTTCTGAATTACTTCCAGTTTTTTCCCCATATTGGTTAATTTGAAGTAAATAAGACGTAATATTCACTTAGGCCAAATAA